GAACAATTTTTATCAATATGGAGAAGATGGATTGTTTATATTCAAAAGAAGCATGGAGTGGTAGAATATAACTTAGGTTTTTAGATTTTTTTTTTATTTTTGTTTATTCTTTCTATCTTTTTTGTAGATTAAGATATTTTGTGGAGTTAGGGATATTAGTATTTGTTTACTCATATATGAATATTATCCTGGGATTAGGTTTGGGAAGTCCGGGGGGGGGATGGGGGGTTTGTACTTGTTATTGTGTTTATTATGCTTGTGATTGTTTTTTTTTTATGATGGAAAATAATAAAAAAAAAATTGGAAAAAAAAATAATTCCTTTGTAGAACTGTATCAGCAGCTCCTTGGGCAGTCTGAGTTTTCTGAGTTGGCGCAGGAAGAATTTTCTTTGTTATGCTTTTTTGTTGATGTTTTTGGTGTTAGGTGTCCATTTTAAGTCCTCAGATATTTATTGGAGACCCAGAAAAATGGGTCTCATATCTCTCATACGTCATAGAACTAATTTTCTGAGTTTGGTCAACAGTCTAAAACCTAAAATAATGAAGAGGATAATAATTGAAATTCATCGGTGCTTAGTATCCTAATAAACACCTTCAAAGCATACTAAAAAAATATACAGTGCAATGTACAAACATAAAAGCAACCACTGGCTTACATCTTTTCTACCGATTATCTGTCACATTCCTTTCTATAGATGTAATGCTTTTATTTTTATTGCAAATGTAAATATTATCTTAGCTCTTCAGAGCACCTATTTGTTTGCCTGTAGCAGAGGCAAGCAATAGTCTGGCTTAAGTAGTCAAAAGGACAAGCTTTTTTTTTCTACATGAGGATGTGATCATGACACCTCTATGCATAAGCCTAGAATTTCCTGGAATCAATCAATCTCTCTCTCTCTCTCTCTCTCTCTCTCTCTCTCTCTCTCTCTCTCTCTCTCTCTCCCTATGGTTAACACATCTACCTCTGAAAATATCCAGTTGGAAATCTAGGAACTACAAGAAAAGGGTTTAGGTCCATATGTGATTACAATATGCTTATCCCAAACTGATGAGCCTGTTTGCATTGGGTGGAAATACAGAGAACTGCAGTCTTATAGCTAGAATATTTCAAGTTTAGTTGCGTTACAACTTAGTACCAACATTTCAGAGGCCTTTTGTAGCTATCTGGAATTTTGATCAGGTACAGCAAAACCTCTGTCCACCAAGAGAAAGACAGGAGAAAGATCGGGAATTAGATCATCAGGAACAGTTGTGGGAGAGTGCTTGGCGGTTGATAGTGCAATCCTTGAAAACTTGGAAATTCATAGCCTCCATGGAGATCACAGATTTGTCCACGCTGATCTCTGATTTGACACATTAAAGCAGCATATGCTGGACCTTGGTTTTGCCTCAGAGCAGATGTTAAAATCTCTGGATATGGAGAGCTTTATACTCTGACCTTTTCTGTGGTCAGGTTGTTTCCTGGATCAGCTAAAACTGATTCTATCCAAAATCTCCGCTGGAGAAAGGGGTCGATTTAGAATGTTCTTCTCCATGTATCTCATGCATTTGGATGGATTCCAGTGGACACTGGGGGAGTTTTCTATAAAGCCACTGGGAGGGGGGCTTACCTCTCTTATTTGTTTGTTTTCTAGGCAGCATCTATTCTCATTCTCCTCAGTCAACCCCATATTCCATTATAGGTTAGTTGCTGGTTAAAAGATGACTCGGGCTCTTGAAATAATTGTTCCTATGTAGCATCTGTTTGCCAAACCCAGATGTTTTCCTTGGTTTATTGAGGCGGTCTGGAAGGTGAAGTGTTAGAAGCAGTGCCTAGAGCACTAGTGGAGCAAGATGAAAAGTGAATTTGACTGAAGCCACATACAAGCTCAAATATAATAAGGAAGATGTTTCCTTTATTATTGCATCACCATGCTGTTAGTTGGCTGCATCTTGTTTAGGGTGAACAATTTCTTTTGGAGAATAATGTACAGCAGGGGTCCCCAATCCTCAGGCTATGGCCCACCTCCAGGACTTGAGCCATTCGGAACCGGGCCACGGAAGTGGTGGGTGAGTGCATGTACATCCCCAATTGTGTGAACAGTGGGTGAGCATGCATGCTCCATTTGCATGAGTGGCGGGTACACATGCCTGCTGCTCGTGCAAATGGAGCTCTGTGTGGGTGCATGTGGTTGCCAACTGCTCATGCAGAACCATCCCATCTCTTCTCCCCACTGGTCTGCAGAGCCAAAAAGATTGGAGAATTCGATGTACAACCATTCATTTGGTAGCTATGACCATTCTGCACAGTGCAGTGGCCCAAATTCATCAGTGGTGATCACCGGAGCAACATCTTGTCGTATTAGCTGAGTCTCCTTTTGCCCTGTGACTTCCAATAAAATAGTGTTTTCTAGTATGATTCTAGACTTGTAGGCTAGATTTACTCTAAGTGGGGTCAGAGCAGTGTGTAAGGTGAGATCTGGTTGATACGCCTCATTTCAAATGGTGGTGCTTCCTGTGGCCTTAATGAGGCTGTAGTGTGACTCCTTCTCAGGGCAACCTTCTCCATTCCAGAGGTGACCTATCTGATACAAACATCTTGGAACAAATGGTTGATGGTCCCCTACTTCCATAAAATAAGGGGAGGTTCTGGGCTCAGTTTTTTAGTGGTGTTTTATTTTAAATTCTATATAGCCTTGGTGCCGAAGTAATTACAGGAAACTTCCTTCATTCCATCATGACTGTTACATATATCTTTGGCTAAACAACAGGTAGTCCACAAAGTAAAGGGGGACTGAAGCCAGGATGTGGCTTTTCTTGTTAATGACCCTGCTTTGAAACAGTTTTCCCATGGAGATTAGCTCTTCATAAATGATCTTTCAGAAGATTTTAATACAGAGAACTTCCAGAGAGCTTTGGCAGGCTCGTAGGTGATTCCGGCAGGTTGCTGGCCTGTTGACTTCTTTGCTGTTGATTTTTTTTTTACTGAATATATTATTATTGTAAATTTGTTTGTTTGTTTCTGTCTTGTGTTGACTCCTGATATCTGCCTGGATCCTTCTCTGCAGGGATTTTTTTCACAAGATTTTAGAAGTGGTTTGCCATTGCCTTCTTTCTAAGGCTGAGAATGACTGATCATCTAACTCATTTTGTGCCTATGATGGGCTGGAACCAATAGTGTCCCAGTTTCTTGCAGGATGCTACACCAAACTGGTTCTCTTAATATTTTATACCATGGATATTTTAATTGTACTGTTCCGTTGCCACTGAGCATCTAACACAGTTAACAGTGGGACAGAAATCTATTTATTTATTCCACTGGTATTCTATTTTTTATTCAAGTGGTAGAGCACTCTGCATTATGCTCCCTCTTCCTGTTTTTCCCTAGAACATCAATCCTGTGACGTAGCATGGGTCAGTTGGATAGATAAATAAATAAACATTAAATAAATTCTGCTCCACAGGCATTGTATAACATTGTTGCTTCCCGTTTGCATTTTTTTTTCACTTAGGAATGGAATTGTGGTTGAGCTGCATAAAATGATGTAATATTTCTCATCTTTCCTTGGCAGGTCATTATGGAAAGGATATTTATCGAAGTGGAGGTCCAGATTTCCATAATTTCATCTCTTCTGGGTTTGTCACATTAGGAAGAGGACACAACAAGGGTACAGTGGAAACTATTTTTTGTTGAATAGAAAATATATGCTTGAGAACAGTCTCTCACTTGGAAGTTTTGTTATGTATGACATCAGATAACAGTATTAGTGTGGAAAATCATAGGCTTATGCCAGAACATAGTGCTGCAAGTTCAATAAAATGTTAACAGTGGCCTTTTAAATCCTATGGAAGGAGACATGGAATGAGCATCTGGAGAAGGTTCCAGAATGGCAGAAAGACAGGTTGACTGAGTTGCATGAATGGAAACCTTCTGTCTTGCTACCATTTGCCAAAGAAACAGAAAGATACATAAAGTTACTATGGGGTAAAATGGTGATACCATTTCCAAAGTGGGATGCTATTACGAGAATACAAAGCATTTGACTTAAAACTGTATACATAAACATATCTACCCCTTTGGTGTGCTTAAATTACACATAGAGAAAAACATCTGTATTATAATCTAATCTAATAAAAGCACTTCCTTTACCTACTGAAAAAAGTAGGAATTGCACAATAAGAAAAAAGGCTCATAATTTCCATAGGTATGTTATGCAAATATATAAGTTTGCAAACAAGATACTTCCAAGCAATGCAGTTAAGCCTGGGACTGTCCTATACCTTCTTTGGATTTCAGTAGAAAGCAATTTGGTGATCAGTCTGGCTAAAGATCTTGGGAAATTCATTTTGTTGTGCCTAGTTTTATTCCCTCTTGGAATATGTTGCTTCTTGGTGCTCATACATGAATCTTGAGAACCTTCTGTGTTTTATTTGTTCTTTGTTTATTGTATGTTGGAATCTGGACTGCATAAACTTATCTGTAGAGTGAAAATGGATTTGTGGTCCTGCCACATAGTGGCTCACTGAACTGAATCACTTTTGCATCTCCTCTAGATTTTTCTCTCCAAAATTTGTGTGAGATTCTAAAAGAGATGCTCATTATAGATTGTGCCATAAAGTTACCAGTCATATTATTTACAATTTCTATTGAATTTGCATCAGCATATTCAGTATAACAAGAGTGCGTTGTATTTAAATATTTATCCTTCCCACACACATAATATTGTAAGCATTTTATAAAGTGATTTCCTTAAGGGTCATATATTTTTGTCTGTCTACCTAATCTGTGAGAAATGTGTGTGTGTGTGTGTGTGTGTAAGAAAGAGAGAGAGAATGCACACAGACACATATCCTTTATTGTACAAATCTGAAAAAATGTCAATATCCATATCCTACACTGTGTATGTTCTGTGTAACATAATGTATATGCAGTACAATGCTGGATGTGCTGATGTGGTGCTGTAATAGCAAATGATATCTACCATAAACATCTAGGAATCATGATGACCTTCATAACTGATATACAGGAGCATTTTGCTACCCAAACCAGGATGGCTCTGGTGTCTATTTGGGTGAATTTCTAATGAAGTCTATAGCAAGACTTTTTTTATTTATAGGGGGATGGAGTTGTGAACATTTTATTGCTTTCAGATTCTTGAAGAATGAGCCAATTTCCTTGAAAGACTTGAGGGTAGAGAGGGAAAGTCCTAGTAGGACTGGACCACAGATCATTGGATCTGATATATAGATTCCAAGCTAGCTAACCATCAAGTCTTTTGGGGGATCCACCTCACTCTATGGCACACTACTGCATTAAAGGGTGGGCTCAAGCCACCTTGGTGACACAACATTGTTCCTTGCTGACTTACTTGTAGACTGTTGAACATTTATATCATGTATTTGGAGATACAAGTCTATTTCTATAGAAACACTGTATTGTATGTGAAGGCATATTGTTTCATATATCCATTCTTGTTGATGTTTCCATGGATGTTCATCATTTGCAAGTTGTAAAACAAAAACAACCAACTCCCCTTTCTTGCTCTGATTTTTGTTTTGCTGTTTAACCAATGGAAGAAAAGCTTTCTTTATAAATGTCAACTAAAGCAGTGTGAGTTCTGTGGAACTGTCACAGAAAAAAAACATTATATGTGTGTATTGTCTGTGTTTTGTGTGTTCAAATAAAGTTTATTGAGGTGGAGGCATAGCCCGTAGGATTGTGTTGTCCTGTGGTGTAGGATGCAATACAGAAGAAAGCATATAAAATGGGAGGGGAGGTGGGATACAATGTATGGACAAAGAACATCCAAGGAAAAACCTTCTATGATCTTCTCTGAATTACCCTTTTCAAGTGTTTCTAATTGTAATCAAACAAGGAACTTGTTGGCAGGAAATCACGAACTGAGACATTCCAATGGAGTCTAAAAAAACAGAAACAAATTCAGAAGCATCTTTTCTTTTGCCCCATGTATTTTGGTTTGTTTATAACAGACTTGCCAGATATTATCTACATTTTTACCACAATCAATCAGCTTAAGGGGACTTTTGTTTTAAAGATGCATGCCTAGTAGGGGGGGAAGACAGATTTTTAAAAAAAAAAATGTTGAGAGATAATGGCCACAAGCAATATATGGAAGTAATGAACAAATTTTTGCTATTGAGCTTTATTCAGTATTTCATATTTTACTATTTCATTGCTGTGGGAGCCTTTCTGGAATTGATTTCCCTTCCCGACTTCAACCCTGGCTGAATTGTTTTAGAGTAATAGAATTAATTGTAGTTATTATTTCCAAAGTTTGTATTAGAAAGTTGAATGTGTGAGTAAAAAAGATTGGCTCATCTTTTTAAAAAAAGAAAAATTCCTCCCAAGGCTGAATGTCCCAAAGATGCTTTTTCAAGGGGCAACTGGACTTCCTTGTTTTTCTCTGAAGACGTTTCACTTCTCATCCAAGAAGCTTCTTCAGCTCTGACTGGATGGTGGGGAATGGAAAGATTTATATTCCTTGCAGACAACTGGCCATTCTTTTAGACAACCATTGGGGGCACTTGGAGGTTTGTCTATGTCCTCAGGGTCACCTGAATAGTGCAAATAGTGTTGTGGAGCTATGCTTTCTGAAGGTTCCATACCCATTTGTACATGATTAGATAGATAGATAGATAGATAGATAGATAGATAGATAGATAGATAGATAGATAGATAGATAGATAGATAGATAGGCAGGCAGGCAGGCAGGCAGGCAGGCAGGCAGGCAGGCAGGCAGGCAGGCAGGCAGGCAGGCAGACACGCAGACACACAGACACACAGAGAGAAAGAGAGTTGATACATATATACATACATGTAGGAATCATAACATTTGAGCCACAAAATTTGCCATTACTGTCTTTAAAGTAAAAAATACATATTGGCCCCTGGTATATGCAACAATTTAATTATAGCTGATATGCCCCTTTAGGCATAATCCTTACATTTCTTACTTTTAGGCCAGATTCAGACCCAAAACAAATCATAATTTTTCATTGTGGACAAGGTGTTGTGCTTGTCTTCTTATGTCTTCTTCTTATTCTTCTCTTCTGCATGCTAATTGGAACTTTCCATTTTCAGTAGAAAGGGAAGGAAATGCGTATATACCTCTTCAAATGGTAGGGGATCATTGTGTTCTATTATCTCTGGTTGGCGTTTCAACCTTTGCTATATGCTTGTGACTGAATTTAAAAAAAGTACAAATAACTCAGGGTGGTTGATACAGGTTAAACATATAATTACCCATACAGTTTAAGAACATTTGAGCCATGACCACTGTCCTAAAAGATTAAAGGCAGCAATGTATAATATTGGAATAGTACCATTTCAATTAATTGCAAAACTAAAAAAGTAAGTTTGCCTTCTGCACACTAAGCTAAAGACAAGCTACTAGCTATATATTTTGTTCAGTCTTATGTCCAATAACCTCTCACTTTTGTAGGCCAAGGTCAAGAGCAAAAAACCCCATATTGATTGGACTGCTTTTACACAGTTTCAGGCTCTCCTCTAAGTCACTACAATGCAGCTCAAAAGATTTTCAACCTCTTCTTTTGAAGCCAGAGATGAGGGTTGGATAGAAGAGTAAACTCGATTTCTGATACAATTTGATCTAATGACAAAAATCAGCTTCTATATATTCTCAGGCTCTTTCTCTCTGTTGTATGATGCAAAGTTTTAAACTCTGTTTGTTTCTTACACTTTTATACAGTAATAGACTAAGAACCGCCATTTTCTCAGACTTTTATAATCATCTCCAAATGGTTTACAAAATGGCCCAATTCCCAGCTTCCCACTTTTCTCCTAGATACCTGGTTGTTGAAAAACCTGGATTGGTAGCTCATGAAATATGCAGGTTTTGTGCATAAATATATTTCTAAACAGTAACATGGCCTGGTATGATAATAACTTGCTATTTGAAGAATCTCTTTTCTGGTTTCTCTGCCATCAAAATAAAGCATGGATACAAATGTTTAGGCTCCAAATCATTGGTCAATCATTGCATCTTTATATGATCTCTATATATCTCTATCTTGTTCATGGTCAATATACTGATTGTTGACATAAAGAGTTCTTTGGTTTCACATATTTAAATGGTCATAACTTTGTTTTGTTTGTTCATTTGCCTTTGGGAATATCTTGGTTTTTGAAGATTTATTCCATAAAAATGATGCAAATACTCAATAGATAGTCATTTCCTTGTGCTTCAGATGTGTATAATCTTTTAATTGCTTTAATTTGCTTCAGTGGTTTTTGTTGCTACTGTTTAAGCTATTTATTTATTTATTTGTATCTTTTGTGTTGTTTTATTATTTTTAACTGTGAGGAGAATGCAGAGTCATGGGGGCCCATGCAAGATGGGTGGATATATAGATTGAGCAAATCAGTAAATATTGTAAACAAACAAACAAATCTTTATTTCAAACAACTTTTTATGATCAAAAGAAATCTTAAACCACATACCAGAAACTCTATTATGTGACTGAAAATCAAATAAGATGTTTCTCACATTTCATATATCTTTTGCTTAGGAAACAGGTTAGTGTAAGCTATGCTAGGACCATAGAATTTCTAGATACTATACATAAGTTGTGAACAAGAGAGGAAAAACAGGAGGAAATATGAGAAGAGTACATTTGCAGGCTGAGT